CCGGCTCGCCACACTGGCCGTCGCGGCCCTGTGGAGAAGCCGGTCCTAGAGCTCAGCCCCAGAGCAGCTGCGGGCAAGTGCGCTTCCCTTCAGAAATAAACCCCTTTCCTTCCTAATTAAAACCGGTCATTCCGATTGCGCTGATAATTACCAACGTTGGACTCTGCCAGACGTGATCCGTACCAGACGGGAACACCATTTTGAGACTATAAATGAAAAAATACGTATAATGCTAGCTGGCACAGAGCAATTGAAAATAAGGTCTGTTTTTTGGGTTTGTTTTTTCGGGGTGGATGGGTATTTTTTGGGGGGGGGGTGTCTGGGGGAGGTTTTGGGGCGTTATGAGGGGGCGTTGGGTGTTTTGATGGGGGAGGGGTGTTGGGTGTTTTTTTTAAATACAGCAAATACTTGTCCAGCAGGTCACAGTATTGATCTTCCCCACAGGTAAATAAGATGGCTGTTTACAGCTATTAAGCACTTCGTTAAGCAATGCAAACCTCGTACCTGGTGACAGGATTTGCACCATCCAGCATTACATTCAGAGGGTGGGTGACAGGGACTGTAGGGAAGCCAGGCCATTTCGGTGAGCAGCTGCAAATGAATTCACAGGAGGGTTCAGGTGGGAAGGGGCCTCTGGAGATCATATAGTCCACCCACCCCTGCTCAAGCAGGACCACCCAAAGCCAGTGTCCCAGGACCATGTCCAGTGGGATTTTGACTGTCTCCAAGGATGGAGACTCCACAACCTATCTGGGCAACCTGTACCAGCATTTGACCCACCCTCACAGTAAAAAAAAGTGTGTTTCTTGTGCTCAGGTGGGATTTCATGTGCTTTAATTTGTGCCCATTGCCTCTTGCCCTGTCGGTGGGCACTACTGAGGAGAGCCTGGCTCCCTCCGCTTCCATCCCATGAGGTGTTTGTGCGCATTGATAAGATCCCTCTGAGCCTTCAACAGGCTAAACAGTCCCAGCTCTCTCATCCTCATGCTCCGGACCCTTTGTCATCGTCATGGCCCATCCCTGGACTCTCTCCAGTACGTCCATGCCTTGGACATGGGGATCCCAGCACTGGACACAGCACTCCAGGTGTGGCCTCACCAGTGTGGAGCAATTTCCCCAAGAAGTCCGGGGAAAGTGCATTCTGCCAGCGCTGAAAGAAGGGCCTATCCAAGGTAAAAAAAAAAAAAAATCTCACAAAAATTCCTCCTTCTCAGCTGTTCCTGCTGCAAATGTAGTTAAGTATATATACTGATGGAAAGGAATAATGGGTTTAAATATACTGGATTTGAAATAAACATGATGTTGTTAAGTCATTCTTAAGGAAAAGCTACACACTTTCACTTGAATCATCCTAATGGAACATTTACTTGCTCAGGAAGTGCAGTAGTGAAAGAGGCCACGCTCCCTGAAGCTGATATTCTGTTACTGCTGGATACTATCTAAATCCTTAAGGCACACGTGCAGACAACAGCAACGCAGGCCTTGGTAGGGCTGAGCTGGAAGGGCTGTTCAGCTGCTGGGGGCTGTAGCGTAGTGAGACCTGCAGTACAGCTGCAATGTACTTCAGGCACTGGACAAGTTACCTGAATTACAATTTAAATGATGTGACAAGCAAAGTGAATAAAAGCAACCACACCTCTCTGCTTATAAATAGTTTTTTATTAGAATGCAGCAATGCCTGTCAGAAATAACATTTTGAACATCTAATTTTACAGTGAAAAAACATTGTGTTGTGAGGTTCTCATTTCTTGCCCCTTATCGTATTTGGGCTTTTGGAGTAATATCCAAGTTTAGAACAGCATTGTTATAACTGAAAATAAGGCAGTTTCCTACTTCTTTCACATGGCATCAGTTAAAATGAAAACATGTATAAAATTGAATGATCATGCTTCTTTTTTCCCACTATGATAAAAACATATACCTGTATTCCACAAGAACCGTACTTAACATTCATCCATAAAGAAGAAGTCTTGCTTAAGGCACAAGAAAACAAGCATTTTCTTCATAAATGTTAGAGGTTTCTTTGAGGCATAGAGATAAACGCATTGAATGACAATTTCTGTCTGCTGGACTCAGGTGAATAAGATGGTTAAGTCACAGAAAAGAAGTCCTATTATGCTCTATCTTTTGAAAACAAAAACTAGTTTTTGTTCATACTGACTCATGGACACGTGTAAAATATAGATAATCTGCAAGTAGCAATCCAGCCACCATTTGAGAAAATTAACATCTATCTGTGTTGTAATTTATGAGAATGTATGTTTCTGAAAGGTCCAGAAGTCAATATGTATTCACTTTCAATTTTTTTAAAAGATGCAAGTTTCTAAAGACCACAAAACCACAGTGTTGTCATATTTATTTTAGTAAGTGAGAGACCATGTGCTGCAACATGGTATACCTGAGGAAGCAGAATTGCTTTTTGCTTTTGCTCTGAGATTTATTAATTTGATACCTGAGGAAGCAGAATTGCTTTTTTAAATTGCTCTGAGATTTATTAATTTGATATCCACCTGAACTCCAGTGCTAAAACAGTGGGAGCAAATCTGTGTCATTATAAACAATAGAGAAACACCTAAAATCCAATTCCTTGTTACATGCTGAATGCCTTCACAGACAAAAAAAACATAATTAAAAGAATCTGAATTTTGTTCACTCTTTTGATCATGTAAATTCTACAGGGAAGTATTTACCTCTTCTCCCACCAAAAGCCAAAGATCTGAGTGAAAGAGAGTGAGTGGGGAAAGATGACAACCAATCACTTTGAAATTCAGAAATGTTTAGAAAACACCAAGTTTGTTAGTCAGGAGGAACGAAGTAAAAGAATGGATGGGGAGTACAGAAGTAGTGCTTAATCGTGTACGCAATACAAAGATTTTGAAGGCAAAGGGGTTTTCCCACACCTTTCTAATTGTATTGAGAAATGCACTAACATCCTCTTCCATGAGAACACAGAACACTACAGCAGCACCAGATTGCCTGATACATTTCTTTAAGCCTTGTATTTGCCAACATGTTCACGAGCTATGATCATCCTTTGAATCTGAGCAGTTCCCTCATAAATCTGAAAAGAAGAATTAAAATAATGTTAGCTGATCATTTAAAAAATATTTTAACAGATCTTTCTACGCTTGTAAACCTTCATAGCACTAATCCAGTGTGGATTAGGATGTGCAGAAAGACAGAGAAAACTGAAAAAATTCCAGTGCGACTTGAGTAACTACAATGGGCTAAATGCAATAAACCACATATAAGATACTGAGAGACAGTCTTGTTCTCTCAGATGCTCTTATCAAAACTCAGTAAGGTTCTCATGAAATTAACAGACATAGTGAGTGAAGAAGGATGGGGGAAATGTCTTATCTGGGGAAGGAAATACATAATTTAGGTTTTACAAAGTAGGTTTTGAAACGGTGGGTGGAGGGGAGGAGGTCACCTGTGCTGAAAGTGTTGTATTTTCTTTGACTAGCCTTTCAAGACCATAGCACGTGTTCCCTTTCATCCATTTATTGCCTTCAACACACTCTTTCTTGCTTTCTTTCTTTCTTTCTTTC